TTTGGTGGTAATTTATTAGAGTTAGCATGCTAACACCAGACTACACTGATTACAGATGAGCTACTCAGCAGTATATTAAGTGCTTAAAATGAGCCCCACCTTTACCTGTGGCAAAGTTCACCATGATGCAAACATTAATTTCACAATAATTATCCAATAAAACCCAATAAAATCAATTCTACATGAGGACATTTACTTTTGGTACTTCAGTATATGTGGATGCTAATACTGTGTCTTTGTACTTGACAAAAGAGATCAATCAGTGTTTGGCTAATGACCTGTCATCAGTGTGGAGGAGCTTAAAGAACATCACCGGCTACAGGAAACCACCCCCCGCTGTGGAGACCCAACAATTGGCAGACAAACTGAATGTGTTTTACTGTAGGTTTGAGAAGCAGAACTCCACACTCCTCTACCGTGTCACCTCAGACACAGCAGCTGCTCCCCCATGATCACCTCCCTTCCCCTCAGCCCCCCAGCCCTGAAGATCTGTGAAAAGAATGTGCATAGCCTTTTCAAAAAACAAAAGACCAGAAAGGTGCCAGGTCCAGATGGTGTGACCCCCCTCCTGCCTGGAAACCTCTACTGATCAACTGGCTCCCATCTTCACACACATCTTCAATAGATCATTGGAGCTGTGTGAAATCCCCTCTTGCTTCAAACACTCCGCTATCATTCCAGTTCCTATGAAACCCTCCATCAGTGAACTGAATGACTACAAACCTGCCGATCTGACATCTCTAGCTATGAAGTCCTTTGAAAGACTGGTATTGGCCCACCTGAAGGACACTGTAGACAATTTGCTGGGCCTCTTGTAATTTGCTTATCAGGCAAAAAGGTAAGTGGATGATACAGTCAACATGGCACTGCATTACATCCTGCAATAACTTGACTCCCCAGGGACCTATGCATGGGTCCTCTTTGTATACTAAAGGAAAATACCAGTATTTTCCAACTTGACATGATTCCCATTAGTGTGACACACACACCTGTGCTATCTTCACACTTGCAGAAATTTGTTCTAGCCTGTCACATGAAACAGTTCAAACACTTGTCTCTGAGCCTGAGCCAAAGTGAAATTAGTCACCTGTAATGACCAATTTGCCTGATATTAGCAGGCATGTGGTAAAAAGCCACATGGAAAGCTGTAAAGATCCTGACGTTTGTAGATGACACAACGGTCATCGGTCTCATCTGAGATGGTGATGAGTCAGCCTGCAGACAGGAAGTTGAACAGCTGGCCCTGTGGTGTGGTCACAATAGCCTGGAGCTGAATATAGAATAAAAGTGGAAATAGCCACCACTATGCTCAGCAGCACTGTATCACAGTGGAGGCCTACAAGTTCCTGGGTTTCACAATCTCCCAGAACCCAAAGTGTTCGTCCAATGTGAGCACTATCATCAAGAAGGCACAGCAGAGGATGTACTTCTTGTGTCAGCTCAGCAAGTTCGACCTGCCCCAGGAGCTGCTGATACAGTTCTACAGAGGAATCGTCGAGTCTGTTCTCTGCATCTCCATCACTGTCTGGTTTGGCTCAGCAACCAAACAGAACAGGAACAGACTCCAGTGGACAGTCAGGACCTCAGAAAAGATCATTGATGTCAGCCTGCCCTCCATGGAGGACCTGTACATCTCATGGGTCAAAAGGTGGGCAGAGAAGATCGCTGCAGACCCCTCACACCCCAGGCACAATCTGTTTGAATTCCTCCCCTCTGGACAGCATTACAGGTCACTGTGCACCAAGACAACCAGGCACAGGGACAGTTTCTTTCATGTTTATATGTATAACAGGATCCAGCAAACACCACATTGCAATAACCTATAGATCTAATCACTGTACATACCAAATAGCTCATTTGAACTTATATATATATATAGTATGTGCATATTTATCAATAGATGGTTGTTTGTCTTCTTGCTTTTTGCTTGTTATTAAGTTTTTAAAATTTGATTTTAAGCTGTTTTATTTGTTGCACATCAGGGGCCATTGAGCTGGAGTCAAATGCCTTGCATTTTAGTATACAAAATTTTATGATTGATTGATTTACTATTTTGTATCCATTTTTTTAGGATGTAATATCTCAACACTGTTTAATTGCTACTTTTACTTTTGTTTGGTTTATTAATTAAATGATCTGAATCAGGGGCGCCGCTAGCAGTTTTGGGCCCTATGAAAAAATTTGAAGTTGAGCCCTCTACCCACAGACTGTGGGCCCCTAAAGTTTGTGGGCCCTTAGAATCATCCTAATTTTCCCCCACCTAACGGCGCCCGTGATCTGAATACCTCTTCCATTTCTGGCTAACACATACTAAATTAAGGTGCTGAACATGATAAACATTATACAAACTAAACATCAGCTTGTCAGCACTGCAATTGTGAGCATCATGGATGTACTGTGAGACCTAGATACAGTACCGCCACTCAGCCATTCAGTCAATTTTTCCCAGTGGCCACTTGTCGTATTGCAATGAAAAATCAACTTGGGGTCCAATATGCATTTTCTCCATAGAACACAATGATAAAAGCTACATCTCTAAAACCGCTGTCAGGACACCTCAAACTGCAAAACAGTCTTCCTAACTCTTGGCATTATGAATTCTTATCCATGGAGGTTTTAGATTTGTTAGATGTTCCCAGAGCCTACAAAACAGAGTTTTATTTTTGTGATGTTATATTGTGGTGTAACGTTTATGGGCCTAGTAGGGGCAGTTGGGGAAACTCTAATGAGCATGTGCTGTGGGCCCCACAACACAGAAGCAAATTTTGGCATATGAGCCAGGTGAATGGCTTTCAGTGAGAAGAATGGGCACCATCTTTTAGCATGGCTGCAGAAGCTTAATCTTTTTTTTCCCAGTCAACACTCATATGAACACAGAGAAATGTGTTACCTAGGCACATGGTTGAGGAGAACTTGAGGTCTGTACTGAGGGAAGAGGTAGGACCTAAATTCTTCATTGGTGCTGATACCAGGCCAGATCTCTTCTGATGGAGTGCCTGAAAGACAAAGAATAAAGTTGTCTGCACATACAGCACAGGGTAATTAAATTACCGGTTCTCACAACATATGTTACTGGATTTTAGTCTGGCCTGTAAGATGCTATCATGCCACTCTCTTACCCATGAGCCGAAAAATGAGATGGAGCTCCTCCTTTACAGTGGCGCCAGGAAACATGGGACGACCTGTTGCCATCTCGTAAAGGATGCAGCCCACACCCCTGGAACAAGGAGGAGGAGATGAAGATAAAGGTTAGAAGAGCAAACAGCAAAGAGTTGCCCAAAATTATGAAATGCTTGGTGGAGACCTGGTCAACCAACACAATTCAAAGACTGCAGATCATAAGTGCGAACATGTACAGTGTGAGTGGGCACAATGCATCCTTTTGTTTCATCTAGCATGGTGTGAAGAAGAGGCACCCTGCAGTGTGATGAGAGGATATAGAGCTAGGTAAGCTCATAAAAGGCTTGTTACTCGAGACCCACACTTCAGACATGTACCAGAGCTCTGCATGGTTTGTTACAATGACAAACTGTTAATAACTAATAAAAACCAGGAAAAGTGAATGCAGACATCTTACACTCCATTGTGTGAAAAGTGACTCTCCACTAAGAACCTGGGAGATTTTAATAAATATGCATGATTCAAGGAAATCCTGGACAATTCTTAAATTGTTATAAAGTATATTTATCTAAATCACCAAGTAACAGCATCGCTCAATACCTGGGCTGGTACAATAGTGTTTTGGGGACTTCATGTGCTCTGGGCCTACCTGAAATACTCTGTTTAGACCAAATGCACACTGAGGCTACTTGAAATTGCTTGTGTGTAGAAGCATTGGGCTAATCCTTATCTAATGTATCAACACCAATATAGTACATAAGTTTTGAATATTGAAGTGTCGTTAGAACACCAAAAATAAAATAAAATAAAATAAAAATGGATCTCTGACACATCAGATCAGGTTCTGGGCACATTTAGATTTTTTTTTTACTGCATGTAGTTTCTGCATGTAATATCTACCAAAACTCACAGAAACCATCTCTGGGAAAAATGTATTTGATATATACTTTAGCTTTAAGTTTGGGTCATGGCCTACGAGGCGGAGGTGGGATGTATGACCTATATTGCAACGAGCCAAGGTTGCTATTTTATCCAGGGGATGGTTTAGAGAAGCAAAAAATAAAGATCTCCTCATGACATGCCAACTGGTTAAATTAACTGGTTACAGTTTCCTCCAATATTGAAAAATACAGAATCTAGGAAAGTGCAAATTTTCATTTTCTCAAAAGTTTCACTGCTGGACACAATATGTCTCTCACTTCACTGAAAATGTCCAGTCTGTGTATGTGTGCTGCATGTTTTCACACTGCATATTGCACCACGAGCCAGCTGTGATGTCACAGTAGAAGGTACACATACAAACTCAGCACTGACAAACTTTGCTCCTTCAGCAGATGGATGTGGAAACAACTGTTTAGTGTCAAACTCTCTACATGCATCATTATGCACAATGAAGTTCAAACAACCAATGGAAAATAATCATAAGCAAAATACATTTCTGAGAGGAGGGAGATTTAGACAGTTCAGTCACTAAGTTGGTCATAAGATTGCCTACAGGAAGAATGCTGAAAATGCAAACTTTCCAGACAATAGTCAGTTCCCTTAGTGAATAAGATAGGAAGAAACTACAATATATCGGGCAGTTGAAGAGAAGCTAAAAAACATGATCTGCTTCAACCTACAAAGGTTACTATGTCACTTTGCACCCTTCTGATGTTGTTACAAATTGCTAAGAATACTGCCTTCAATCTAGCAAGTTAATATTTTCAGCATTCTTTTTGAAACAAATTTAACTAGGTACATCGTGTCTGAAATACTCAAGTTACAAACACGACAATGCGAGACCCTGACATGTATATGACCTTTTGTATATGTATATGACAGGGATAGAGCAGTCGTCTCCCAGGGTTGGAGGTTTGAATCACGGTGCCTGCAGTCCACATGTCGAAGTGTCCCTGGGAAAGACACTGAAACACAGACTCAGTTGTCTTTGGGTATTATGTTCAGTTGAGCTTGATTTAGCTGCAGAGAGTGAGGCTTGGGGGGGAGCCAATCCCAGCAGGCAATCGGGCGAAGGCGGGGTACACCCTGGACAGGTCGCCAATCCATCGCAGGGACATGGTATATAAATTATATTAATTACTACCTACATGTTATTTACCATCTCCATTTAGGCTTCGAACTTCTACAAGATCCCAGTCCTCACTTTTGAGATCATCAGCATAGAGTTTGCTGCAGCATGCTCTTCCATGTGTCACAGCTGAGTTGGTTTGTAGTCATGTTCACTGTTCATTGTGGATCAGTGCACAATGTCGGGAGGCAAGTAGATGTTAAACTAACATCCATGTGCTACTCACCACATGTCAATGGGTGTGGAGTATTCTGTAGAGCCCAGCAGCACGTCAGGAGGCCGGTACCACAGAGTTACCACCTCATTGGAGTAGGTTTTAGTGGGGACGGACTTGGCCCTCGCCAGACCTGGACAACCCAAGGTTTAAGACTGTGAATACTCAGTAACAGCAGAATGAATTTCTTAAGGCTATTTTGTGCTTTCAGTTTCACTTCCAAAGTTCCATTGAAATGGCAAGTAATTTGTATCTCCACAGGTTTAGTATGAAATATTACAGTGCATTAAGTCTCATATTATGGAGTAAACAGGCCATATTCTTTTGGGGAGGGTCAGTAACACCTCATAGCATCTTAGCCCTAATTTCTACACACTGTCCCTGACAGATCAGTGATAAAATGTTAGAATAGTCCCTCTAGCAGTTCATTGGCTGAGTTTACCTTAAACAGTTGAAAAACAGTCATGGACGACTGGTGGGTTTGTCTTCCCACTTCCAGCACAAAAATGAGCAAACTCAGAGAGAGGGGCACAGTTGCTAGGATACAGGAAGTAAAGGTGCTAAAGTAATCAGGACAGAAGATCTCTGTGGCAGTAAAATATAATTGGAAAGGCAGGAGGCATGCTATCTTATTCCCAAACGTCTGTCATTATGGCGGCATTTGCATTTGTTGATGTCTACCCTATGTGAGTGTGTGCGGCTTGCCTACCAAAGTCGGCTAGTTTGAGCTCGCCCTTGTCATTGATGAGCAGGTTCTGAGGCTTTAGGTCTCTGTGGAGGATTTTCCTCTTGTGGCAGTAGGACAGTCCACGCAGCAGCTGAAACATGAAGATCTGTAGGAAAATGACGACAGAAAATTAGACATCTGTATACATGTTTATAATGAAATATGAATTTTACAGCTACTGTTAGATAAGAGCAAACCTATAACCTATGACCTTTACTTTACTTCATTAAGAAATCAACAGAATCAACTTCTCCGAGTCACAGAGATAATCATCCAGTTTTGTTAAACATACACTGACTGGCCTCTTTATTAGGTACACCCATACGATCTACTGGAGTCCAGTACAACTCAACAACCTGCAGTAACATCTGCCTTTATGGTGAAATTGCTGAAAATATGTTTTGCAAGCGTGTATTTATTTGTTTTCATGAACAAATATCTGCAGATATACAGCCTTACATAAATGTAATCTTTAAAAATAAAACAATCTTAACACTTAGTAATCCATTTCAAATGGGCATGTTGAAATTCCTTTAGACATTTTAAAAGATGCAAACAGCAAATGGTTAATCTTTGGTTATATTCTGTGTGAGATCCACATGCCTTACATCGTTCAGAAAAGGTCCCCAAACACTTCTTGTTTATCATTCAGTATATATACCTATGCTATTCTTTACATTTGCCTTAATAATTGAGATCAATCATCATCATTTGTTAATTTTTGTTATAATTTTAGTCTTCTGGGTATAAAACTAGTCAAATCACCTTAGAGTATAGTGATATTTTTGTTGAGACGATCTTCTTTATATGTTGTTAGTACTATACATGTTTATTACTGAGGTCTTATGTAAATGTGGTGATATACTGGAGTATATTATAATGACTTTTTTTGACATACTTACATATTGTACTCAGTCCACTACAAAACCACCTTAAATTATGACCTCAGTGTTTAAACATTCATTAACCCTTCTATGACACTGTTACAAACCTGAACAATATAGGCATCATAAAAAGCAGAATGGCAGCACAGGATTGAAATATAGTGTATGGGTGTACCTAAAAAAGTGAACACTCAGTGGCAAAATTTGAACAGTAGGTTGTTGAACAACTCTCCTGTCTGAAGGTCTTTCAGGAATTCACGAACTCTCTTCTTATCAAGGGTTAAAATGATTCCACTTGTTGCACGATAAAAAGATTTTTAATCTGTTTCCCATGTTGCACCTCTGTTTCCTAATCCAAACAAAGGTGGCAGCTGGAAACAACATTTTGAAAAATGTGAACCACAAATAATAAAAGTTACTGCATTGGCAGCTATATGGGTGTTTATCTATTGATTATCTACAGTTTCTTTTTAATATTACATTTTATTTAAAGAAGAACAAGGACACATAATTTCCAGCAACTTGGATAGATACAGTTACAAATCAAGAAACAAGGTACACATTCCAGATGTATATTTCTTTCATCCTGATGGTTTGATGGGTCTTTGATGATTCTGAATATTTTCAGAACAGCATTAAATGTCAAAAAACCTTACAGGTTCTTCAAAGATTGCCAGTTACTTCGAGTATGTTTCAGAAAATCTGATGCGTATGTCTATGACTTACACATAATGGCAATTCATAAGAGACACAACATCAGGTTATACTGTGCATGCCACTGTGTAAAATGCTGTATTCATAGTTCTGCTTCAACACTTGCTTTCTGGCTTGAGAACAAGCAGCTTCAAATGTTGAAGCTGTGTGTGTGGTGGTGGAGAACCTGAGGGGTGTTTGACATAAAAACACTCAGGAAATGATAAAATTAATTTGAATGAAACCCATTTACAGATGCTTTGAGTAATTTGTATGTCTCAGCATGGATGTGAACCACTACAAGTCCCTGTCTGCCTGCACTGCACAGTCAGTAGTGTTCTTGACATTTGAGACAGCTGCTAATGAGTCACCTCCTTGAGTGCAGCTCACCTTGACATTATGCATACTCATGAGATTCCCACAGTTGTCCAAGTATTGTTTAAGGTCACTGTCCTGGAAAACAAAACAGCTCCGGTGTTCACACACTCAAATCTGTCCATATCCAGCTGTTGTAACTAAGGCCAATACCTTTTCAACATCTGCATGCCGAATGTACTCACAAGATACTCAAACACCAGTGTGAGGCAGCGGTCAGTGTGAATGATGTCATGCAGCGTGACGATGTTGGCATGTTTCAGGTTCTTCAGCAGAGACACTGGGTGGACAGAGGGAAGAGAGTTGTGCTGTTTTCTCTGCTTACAATGTGTAGAAACAAATACAAAACAAACTCTAATATCCAGTGGCTGTTCTGCCATTAGCTTAGCTATGATTTAAGATTGGTTTTGATTTGTGTCACTTGAAACTTAGTCATGAAATCCCTTATAGTAAACCCTGCTGCAGTGTCTGCAAAAGTTGCACTTGTAGTTACACTTGTGTAAATCATCTAAATGCCACAGATGCTCCATGTTTCTGAGAATTTACTTAAATCTGTATGAAGACCTTTTGTGAAATGCCAAAGCAGCATTAATGAATCAGAATCAGCTTTACTGGCCAGGTGTGTTGGACACATAAGGAACTGGACTCTGGTACAGTGGCTCTCAGTGTGCATGTATAAGGCAATGAGTAAACAAGAAGAACAAGAAAAGAAAAAGAATGTGCAAACAAGAAAGAGGAATGTACATTAGGAAGACTTTTCACCATCTCAAATGACACTGATGACCGTTGTGTGTGTCATCTGCAAACTTCAGGAGTCTACCAGAGGAGCTGTCTGAATACATGTAGTTATCCTCATAATTAAATGATATCACCTTCTCTCAGTGACAGCCGCCTTTTCACTCCATGCTCCAGAGTAGCAGTTCAAAGCAGCTTATTTTTCACTGTGGTCGGTCATGACCTGATTTTTACTGAGTATATGACGAACTGAGGAGATCAGTTCATAATAGCCATGTGTGAACTAATTCAGCCACACAAATACCTGCAGTACTGTACTGCAGGTATGATTTCACTTTGTCAGTAGCAAAGGCCGGTGAGAGACATCTGAACAAACTAATCACCTGAGGTTAGGAAATAATTAGTGAATGATTCTGCCTGTAATGTTAACGTATGCTAATCTATTCTATTCAACTGATTATTGATGCAGTAGTAAACTAAGAAGACCCAGTTCTATGACATCATGTGCATGTGCTTTAAAACTATATTGTCAGGTCCACTCGGCGCAACCTGCCTCTCTTTCTTTTTTCCCTCTCCTGCTCTCCCTTTTTGCTGGATCAACGCCTCAGCTGTGTCGCATCGGGTAATTAGTGACTCGTGGGTCAGTGCGCACACCTGAGGCGTATTCCGGTGATTTGTTGGCTTCCTTATTTATACCTCTGGCAGACGCCCCGTGGTCGCCGGAGCATTGCGACATGTAATGGACAATACTTACCCAGAGTAAGATAAATGTTGTGTTTGACCCGCATTTTTATACGTGTTTAAGATGCTACGCTGACAGTTCCTGTGCGTTTTGGCTTGACCTTATCACGCTAATAATGCGGTTAGCAATACTGAAATGCGTGCTTTTGTTACGACGAGCTGTGCGTGAGTTGTTTAGGACCCAGTAAATATGCAGATTCAAACCCAGGCTAGAAAAGAAAAACGTATTTAATGCTCCATGAAAACGAACAAAACCGAGCCGGTCTCTCGTCTGCTGATCTTGGGGCAGCTGGGCACACTGAGTTGACTGGATTACTGTCTCCCGGGGTGAATGAGAGGCGTTGCTCGTTAAATAAGAACAAAGTTTAAGAACAAACAGCAGGTATGGTATAGATCGTTTCTGGTAGTCACTCTGGGGACCCGAACAGCTGAGAAGGGCACGAAAACCGATACAACAGAACAATGCGCAATAACGGGTCACAACGTTGCGAAAGGAGCGCAGATCAATCAATGGTTCATAAACTTGAGGCCTTGACATGAACATGAAACGTAGTTACCAACAGGATAACACATAATAATCTGGCGACGAGGACGCACCAACGCTGACCCTATATACTGCTCTGGTAATGGAGAGCAGGTGTGCCTCGTCGCCTGGAACCCTCATCTGTGCAGCTGCTGGAACTACCTGTGCCTGCTACCGAGGTACATGGGGCGGCCCGGGTCACGGACGTAACTATTTTGTCTTCCACACTGACAGTTTCTGTGCTGTGGATTGCATTGCTTACTTTGGTTCTTTTTGTTCACCTGTCCGTTCTCATCCTCTGCTATCCTAGTTCCTGTCGTTAGTTTGTGTGTTTACCGTCCTGGTCTCCTTAGTCATCACTGCCCTTCCCTTGTATGTATTATGGACCCTGTTATGTTGGTTTTTATTCCATTAAACCACCTTTTTTGTACTAGCACCTGGGTCAGCCATCTTGAGTCCAACCCCAGTTCTACCTCACCCTCCTGGTGAGGGGGGGCTAAACCATAACATGTATACTGACCTTTTAATAATAATCAGAAGTGCAACTATAGCCTATACTCTGAGTTATCAGTTTACTAGGTCCACCTAGCTAAAACTACCATTGATCGGTGTTTCTATGGAAATGTATTGTTCACAAAATTTACATCAATAAGGCTAAGCTGACTAATAGGATGACCTCTGTAAAAACGACAGCCTCCATAATGATCATATTGTACAGTTGAATCAACACCTCTCTGAAACGGTTTCAACAACTGATCACCTTCACAAAGGGGATCTACTCCAGGACTGTTGCTGCTGGACTGTATTAGTTTTAGCTAGGTGGACCTAATAAACTGTCAACCTACTACTACGCACACCGTATGTTGTTATGCACATTACTATTTATTGTGGAGTATTTCTGAATTCCTTTCTCAGCAGTTTGCAAAATGACTGCAATCATAAAGTTAAAACCAATCCATTCATTAGTTATGCTAATTATCATTTGCTGTTAGGAATGGGTGGGTGGGTTGGGGGGTGTTACAACCATTCATGTTCATAGGCAATTTAGATTCTCCAATCAACCTAACCTGCATGTATTAGATGCTGAGTGACAGTTTAAGTGAAAGAGGTAAATAAAAATGCACTGATGTCAGTTCCTTCTGGTAATGGTTAGCCTTAAAATAGAATCATTATCTACCAGAGGGTAGCACACCTTGCCTTCTGCTTCAACTGAAGAAACCGAGTGTGGTGTGTGTTTGTTGATGTGTGTGTACCCTCTCTGATAGCAGTGCAAGGTGCTCCCTCCTCGTGTTCCAGCCGAATCTCCTTCAACGCCACAAGGTTCTCTGTTAGTTTGCTTCGCCCTTTGAACACTGTGGCATACGTCCCCTACAAACACACACATACAACTCTAAGTGACACTGATAATTTTATATTCTACAGAACTGTTATTCATATGACAGCAGATATACCTTTTGCTATCAATAGGAACAAACTAATGACATTAATTTGACTGGAATAGATTTACTGTACTGTCACTGCCTGTTTACTGCCTCATCACCATAAACAGAAAGCTCAGCTGATTAATTCCAGCTGATTGAATGAGGTTAGAAGTTTGAACTGCTATCATCTACCATCAAAACACTACCTCAGTGTAATGCAAGCACCTTTGATTGAATCCATTAATTATATTATTAGTTAAATTTTAATTAAGTCATAAAAAAACTGATTATTGGTGTTTCCGTAACTGATTATTACAGCTCATCCTCTTCACTCACGATTATCCTACATTATCCTGGCTTTGCACATTATGCAGTTGATTGTAAATGTTCTAATAAGTGTAGCTCAGCTATTGATTTGTTGTCAGAGACTGAGCAAACTAAGAGCATTATAAGAGATACTTTATAATGGACACTGCAAAAATCACAGTTTCATTTCCATATTTTTAATCTTTATTTTTCTGACTGTTCTACCTCCTGAGCCCCAAACCAAACCATGGCTTGAGGTTGAGATAACTGAATACAAAAGTAGTGCTTTCTGATTCCATAGCACCTCCGTTATCTGCTGTTGATCCTTGTGGCTCAGGCTAATGCAGACAGCAGCGGTGGAAGAAGTACTCAGGCCTCTTACTTAAGCAAAATACAACAGTGTAAAAATACTCTGTTACAAGTAAAAGTCCATCCATCCATCCATTTTCTTCCGCTTATCCGAAACCGGGTCGCCTGGAGCCAGGCCAAATAAAAGTCTTGCATTCAAAATGTTAAGTAAAAGTACAAAAGTATTAGCATCAAGTACCAAAAGTAAAAGTAGCCATTATGCAAAACGACACATTTTATTTTGGTGTATATGACATTATTGGATCAGAATTGCTGATGCATTATTGTGTTCATCACATTTAATGTTGAAGCTGATTTTAACTAGCTTTAACTAACTGCTGACTGCTGGGTAGCCTGTGAATTTTCCACTGGAAATCAATAAAGTCACTTGATTATGCTGCAATGTTTGCATTAATCTGGTTCAGAAAAAGTAACTAGCAGCTAAAGTTATAAAATAAATGCAGTGGACTAAAAAGTATAATATTTGCCTCTAAAATGCAGCGAAGTCCAAGTATGATAATAACAGCAAATCAAAATATTCAAGTACGGAGCAGATACCTCAAAGTTGTACTTAAAGCTACAGTATGTAACTTTTTCAAATATTTTTGTTGGAGAAATCTGCTTCAATGTGGAGCGGTGCTGTCGAAGCGTCCTGTGACGCCAGACTCACTGAACAGCACTGGCAAGAGTGCAGAGAGAGTAGCTTCTCCATGTTTTTAGAGGGTTGACCTCTCTGACCAATCAGAGATTTTGAATTAATCCTGCTTGAGCAGTAGGTTTTGTTGTTATATTCATTTATTGTCATTTCATAAGGACAAATACCTGAAGAGCTGGGCAGAGTGTGGTGGAGCGTAGCAGATTGTAGTAAAGCATAGTGGAGCAGGGAGAGGGAGTGCTGGGTGGAGCAGAGTGGGTTGATTTCATGTTTCATGCCAGTGTTACTTTAAGTTACATAGTGTAGCTTTAAGTACAGTACTTGAATAAATGCACTTAGTTACTTTCCAGCACTGGCAGGCAGCATCTGTCACTAATCATTCCTTATTTCTAAAGGCAATAACCATTCTCAGATAAATGGTGTGTGAAATAAGTGCACCAGCAGTGTTGTACAATCCTGATGCCATCCTTATCCAAAGCACAGTCGTGCAATGTGATCCTACAGAGGGCAACACGTCTGAGCACATTGTGTGAATGTAGATTTAATAGTTTTTGGTCTTGTTAACTTGAGCCAGCCATGCAGAACTAATGCAGGGAAACTGACACAAAAGTATACTGGAGTTTGTTTTGTTTAGGCATATAAACTAAGCTGAATGTGTCATCTCGCCTGTCAGGCCTGAGTCACAGTCAGCCTGATAAATATAACGGAGCCTCATAGACAACTTGTGGTCAGCCAGACAATATGCACCAGAGGAATGCTTTATTCTTGCTTGATAAAGTCATAAAGTTCACTTAAGCCTCAAGTTATTGCTCGGTAGCTGCACTAATGGGTGGAGTAGTTGAACACAAATTCCTCAGTGTCCCTTTGTGGCATCTGTTTTTATTGACCTTGTGAAAATTCTTAAAAAGTGAATGTGTGAGCAATTGGCATGACATACCTCGCCTAGCTTGCCAAGCTTCACGTATGTCTCCAGTTTCCCAAAGCCAATGTCAGACTAGAGCCAAGAGGAAAAAAGAAAGCAGATGAATTTTATAGTACCTACTGGTGTGATTCTCTCCTCTGATTTGAACAATCTAAAGATCACATTTGCAAACATTAGTTAATGATTTGTTAAGTTAATTAAGCAGAGATTCTTGTTTAGTCCGTAAACCAGGCAGGAAGCAAATGTTTTATTGTTGACTACTATTAATACAGAAAGAGGCAAATGGCAATTATAATAGTACCAGGAAGGCAAGATAAGGAGACTAGTGATTTGCAAAGAGGAAATATGCTCTACAGTATGAGCTGAGACATTCACCAGTTCAAGATTAATCAAATACTGTAGATTGTAAACAAGATGCCAATATGGCTGCTAAAAGGAGAGTCAGATAAACAAACAACCTGGCCAGTATAGCCAGTATGAGGTACTGACTGCTGTCATGTTAATACTTTATACAGTATATCACAGATAGATAAGTACATTGTGTAATAATATCCAGCACAAACCAGTGAAGCCCGTCGAGACATGCGACTGGCAGGTTTGCAGAGCGGTGAGTTATCACTGTCCAGCTGCAATTTCTTGAGAAACTCTGGAGGCAAACGGATATCCATGGGCAGAGCCATGCTCTTACTGACATCCTGCAAGATGTCAACAGACACTAAGGTTTACACGTTATACTTCTGTTTATTTAGTCTGTTCTAGATATAGAGTCTAGTCCCCTTATTAGACTGTACATCATTAAAATCATGGCCAATAGCTTTCTTGAGCTAGTCACCAACTTTGCTGATCTTCCATTATTGTGAATACCCTAGATACCTAAATTCAGCAACTTGTACACAACCTACATTTAATGTGCTTCAACACATCCTGACAATTGTAGCACTGTCGCTGCTCTGCTAAAGTTCTGGTTTCACCATGTGGCCTTAAGGACTCTTGATTATCTAGCCTGTAACAGAATTAAACATGAATAAATTCATTAAGGCCTTATAAATTAATTATAAACCACTACTGACAAACTTTGCACCCTAAGATTTAAAAAAAATCCTTTTGGCTGGTGTACAGTATGTCCCCTCGAATGTTGAGGGACTTGAGACTTTCTTGGGACCTGCATAATAATGACTAAGTTTAGCACATTTTACAGCCTCTGACTCTACAGATTTCCATTTTTCTTCTGTGCTTTTTTGTATTTTTAAAAAATGTATTCCATTCTCCATACCCTGCTCTGCTTCTGAGTGCATGTGCATTTGTTCTGTCTCTGTCTCTCAGCTGCAGAGGGAGAAGGGGGTGTGCCAAAGTAGGATATCAGCCTGATATCAAGTGAGAGACAAACCAATGACATGATTTCCCACCTGTCCGTGGGCAGGTTGACCCTGTCCACAGAGCTAATGCCCACCACAACAATATCTGGTGGGCTCATGGTCAGTCCATGCTTGGGCGTGCATTGTTAAAGTTCCTGCACATCCTCAATGGCGTTTTCTATTACTTTGATTTACTGGTCCTCTGCTAAGATTGAAGGCGAGTGGAGCTATGCTTAATATTACATGACGCAGCCTGGTCACACCAACACAGTCCTGAGATGAGGCTAATTAGTCCACAGTTTAAAATTCTTGTGTGGGTGTACCATGGTTGTGCGAGGCCTTTAAATTTTAAGAAGTCATTAATTACTGACAGGCTCCTCCACTACAATAACATAGTTAAATCTGTGTTTGTAAATGTTAATAAGTCAATAAATTGATTTTGGTGTGAATGCTATAGAGCTCTGACTGAACTATAACAAAGGCTGTCCTGGTGAATTGCAGACCATTTGCACAGCAGGAAAAAACATGAGACACTAATACTTTTAACCATTAAGTGTCTCAGTATATCATTCATACAAACCAGCATGTACAATTGAACAACTTGGCATGTACAGTAAATGGAATGCAGTTGTTATGAATGTAAATGATTACACCTATAGGTTTCCTGCTGTGACATGTCAGTATGCCTGCTGTGGCCATAGGGAGTTTCATGAAACTGTCCTGATCAATGACTTATTGTTCTATAAAACATAAATTACCCATAAAACTATTAGTTACAACTGGTAAACCATTTTATTACAAAGAGGTACATACATTTCTTATGCTTGCTCAATGAAGCTACCCCGTTTGTTTGAGCCTTCACACCATTATTTTTGGTTTCACAGCACCAGGCCCTTCCTGAACACTTCCTTCCCTCTAACACAGCTTCACTTGACTGTCTGGTATGAGTTGTGAAAGACTCACAGTGAATCCTTCTTGTTCCACCCAGTCTTTGTTGGAAAAAAGGTGGAAATGTGAACTTTTTCACATTTCCAATAAAAACTTTGGCGCTGTGGTGAGGGTTAAGAGCTTCAGAAGTGACTCAGCTCGTCTAAGAAGTATGGTGTCCTCCTGCAACTGCTCTGAGCTTCTGCTGCTTACCTCCATGGAGAAACGTCTATGCTGAGCCTTGCTGTGGTAGTGGAGATGGGATGGAGACTGAGCTCCTGGTATGGTTGGTTCAGGGCTCATTGGACTGGCATCATGAGAGGGAGGACCCAGCCTGTCTGCACTCAGGCCTGATAGAGAAAACACACATTCAGGCAGCATTTGCAGAGATATAGATCAGTGACAAAGAAAAGCCACGGGTGTCAGGCCACCACAAGCATTCCCAACAGCCCAATCAAGGCATAAGTTATAAATAGATTTTATTATCTTTGTATAGAATCATTTCCAGTTTTTATGCCAAGCTAATGGGTGACTGGCAGTAGTATTGGTTTTTTCACATTGATCCTGGTAAAAAAGCTAATAAATCTATTTCCAAAAATCTTGAACTATAAGCAGTGTGAAAGGGGTCACTACATAAAACTGTCACCAAGTTCTGCAGCCCCTCAGCTGTGTGGAGCATTTTAGTGTCTCTTAGCTCACTTGTTGCTTTTTGGCTGATCTTTAGAAACAACAACAAGTAGCTGTTGTCAGTGAAAAAGCTGTTTAGTGAGCAGCATTAAACAGTGGACAACACTTGTAACTAGACAGCACACAGAGAGCGCAATCTCCACCAAGGGCTAGCTCTGTTTCCTCATAATACCATTAAAGCAATATTCCTAGTTTGACCCTTATTAATGAGTGCTTGACCATGAAAACCCACCGCTGGCATTAGGAATGATGTTGATATCATTATTAATTTGAAAGTTATTCAAAAGTTATGTTTGTTTTATGTTATGAAAGGTTTTTATTTTTGCATTCTACACTAATCTACAGAATAAGAAAGACTTGTGAGAAACAAATGCCTTAAAACATTTTTGTCAATTTATATACCTAAGACAGAATAAATAAACCTGACAGTTTATTTTCCTCCTTCTTTGTTAAATATATCATGAGTGTATCAAACCATGAGCTATATAAAGTTAGGCCTACATTGCACTACCTGCAGTAATTTTTACAGTGCCTTGCGAAAGTATTCGGCCCCCTTGAACTTTGCGACCTTTTGCCACATTTCAGGCTTCAAACATAAAGATATAAAACTGTAATTTTTTGTGAAGAATCAACAACAAGTGGGACACAATCATGAAGTGGAACGAAATTTATTGGATATTTCAAACTTTTTTAACAAATAAAAAACTGAATAATTGGGCGTGCAAAATTATTCAGCCCCTTTACTTTCAGTGCAGCAAACTCTCTCCAGAAGTTCAGTGAGGATCTCTGAATGATCCAATGTTGACCTAAATGACTAATGATGATAAATAGAATCCACCTGTGTGTAATCAAGTCTCCGTATAAATGCACCTGCACTGTGATAGTCTCAGAGGTCTGTTTAAAGCGCAGAGAGCATCATGAAGAACAAGGAACACACCAGGCAGGTCCGAGATACTGTTGTGGAGAAGTTTAAAGCCGGATTTGGATACAAAAAGATTTCCCAAGCTTTAAACATCCCAAGGAGCACTGTGCAAGCGATAATATTGAAATGGAAGGAGTATCAGACCACTGCAAATCTACCAAGACCTGGCCGTCCCTCTAAACTTTCAGCTCATACAAGGAGAAGACTGATCAGAGATGCAGCCAAGAGGCCCATGATCACTCTGGATGAACTGCAGAGATCTACAGCTGAGGTGGGAGACTCTGTCCATAGGACAACAATCAGTCGTATACTGCACAAATCTGGCCTTTATGGAAGAGTGGCAAGAAGAAAGCCATTTCTTAAAGATATCCATAAAAAGTGTCGTTTAAAGTTTGCCACAAGCCACCTGGGAGACACACCAAACATGTGGAAGAAGGTGCTCTGGTCAGATGAAACCAAAATCGAACTTTTTGGCAACACTGCAAAACGTTATGTTTGGCGTAAAAGCAACACAGCTCATCACCTTGAACACACCATCCCCACTGTCAAACATGGTGGTGGCAGCATCATGGTTTGGGCCTGCTTTTCTTCAGCAGGGACAGGGAAGATGGTTAAAATTGATGGGAAGATGGATGGAGCCAAATACAGGACCATTCTGGAAGGAAACCTGATGGAGTCTGCAAAAGACCTGAGACTGGGACGGAGCTTTGTCTTCCAACAAGACAATGATCCAAAACATAAAGCAAAATCTACAATGGAATGGTTCACAAATACACATATCCAGGTGTTAGAATGGCCAAGTCAAAGTCCAGACCTGAATCCAATTGAGAATCTGTGGAAAGAACTGAAAACTGCTGTTCACAAACGCTCTCCATCCAACCTCACTGAGCTTGAGCTGTTTTGCAAGGAGGAATGGGCAAAAATTTCAGTCTCTTGATGTGCAAAACTGTTAGAGACATACCCCAAGCGACTTACAGCTGTAATCGGAGCAAAAGGTGGCGCTACAAAGTATTAACTTAAGGGGGCTGAATAATTTTGCACGCCCAATTTTTCAGTTTTTTATTTGTTAAAAAAGTTTGAAATATCCAATAAATTTCGTTCCACTTCATGATTGTGTCCCACTTGTTGTTGATTCTTCACAAAAAAATACAGTTTTATATCTTTATGTTTGAAGCCTGAAATGTGGCAAAAGGTCGCAAAGTTCAAGGGGGCCGAATACTTTCGCAAGGCACTGTATCAAACCGAACTGTGGGCTGGCTATATCGTCACATCCCTAGTAACTGACTAACATGTTGGTTTGCTTTTTATTGCAACTTTCCAATTGTTGATAACAAAGATAACATGAACAATGTTGAAAGAAATAGTTGTACACAACTGGAGTTTTAGCTTCTTGTTTTCAGCAACAAGGCTCATCAGGCCTATGGAGGAGATCACAGTTATGGCTGCTGAAGCAAATGTGTTAGGCAATTATAATATGAACACACCAGCCTCATAGTGTGACAGCTACCAGCCAGTGTGGTGGGAAGTATGGACTTTGATCCTCATCATACACTGTATGTGATGCATGTTTGATGCCTGGTCGGCATCTTTTGAATTTTGCTGGCTTTGAGGATTCAGCTGCAGTTTGATCTCCAATTTCAATGGTGAATGTTGCCCACCTTACCGGTATGGCGAGAGTAGGATGTGAAGTGGACACTCATCTCCATTTTTATTTATAGTGCTTAGTGTGTGTGTATGTACAGTGTGTGTTACAGCCATTCCACCTGGGGTGAATTACAAAGTGCTTGTTTTCACAGGGACAATGGCTAACAAGCAAAGAAGGCCTCAGTGTTAAGGAGGAAGTCTCAGAAAGCTCATTAAGCCTCCCCCTCAACACATACATATTTATATGTGTACATGCAAATATTAATATTTATGACACGACCTATGACCTCTTTCATCCAGCCAGAAATTCAACGGTGTTGCATCAATTAAACACATAAACACTCATCATACTGCAGTTTGCATGTGTATAAAGATATGTGTGAAAAGATAAAGTGGGCCAACACAGAAAGGTCAAAATGACTCTCACTTTTTAAAATGACTGGATGAGTTTAACAAGTATTTTTAATAGTGCTATGGAGAAGCTAAATGGGATGTGGGGGTGAAATGACAACCTGTTTGCCGGTCATTTCAATATCACAGCTGAAGCACTCTTTGATCTCCTGATGCTAATTTTGGTCAATAAATGGGCACACACACATGCATACACAGCGCCCGGTTGCTGTGAGATATGGATGGATGCCTGCTAGAGATCTTGGTAGGAAAAGGACAATCCAATATGCTATGTCACATGATGTTTTTATAGCATTTCTATCTGATATTGTGATTACAGCGATTGGTAGAAAGAGGAAGAGAGGATGCAAGAACTAAATAACCATTAAAATCCTGTTGGGAAAGGCTGAGAAAGGCAGAATTTAACATCCAGGCTAACATTTTCATATTCACTGTGTTACATTTAAAACTGCATGCTGGTCATCAAGCAGCTTAAAGTTAATTAGTCTGTGTCTTCCTCAAGGACAAGCTCACATTTACCAAACATTTTAAAACTCAATATTCAGTGCCATAAACCTTGACAAAACAACTCTGTGAATACTAAAAAGTCTGCATGTAAGCTGCTTGGTAAATGCTAATGTCAGCAGGCTAAAATGCTCACACGACAGTGCCATCTTAGTTCACCATCTTGGTCCATTGTAATAGCTTGCTAACATTAGCACTAAACATTAACTTGACACTAAACACAACATACAACCAAGACTAATAGGAAGGAACGTTATTACAACTCATGCCGTGGCAAAAATAAATGTTTGTACCAAATTCAGTCCTTCCAATACATACACTAGATAAAAAGATGGAGGATCACATAAAGTAATAGGATTTATCTTTTGGGGAATATTAATGTCTATTGCAACCCAACCAGTAGTTATTCTGATATTTCTCTGCTCAAAAGTGGCAGACTGATTGTGAAACAGGCCAAGTGACACTGCCATCCATGGACGGGATGATAGCCAGAGAAGTAAAAGTATATAGATACCCAGGAGGAGTTTTTTTTAGAGTGCTGCTCTACACATTTTCTGATAATGGTTTCACTAATGCCAATATTTGCTGGCAGTTATGTGCTAAGAAACACAGCAATGCACCAGTAAAGGTGGGGAAGATGAAACGTGCCAGGTAGAACACACTGATATAAGCAATGTAAACTATTAGAAACTATTGACTTTGTACATGTTTTATCAGGAAGACAATGTGTTCAATCTGTTTGGTAACAATGAGCTGTTTTTCTGCGTTTGTGAGTAAACTGCACCAATCAAAGCTGCACTGATCAATACTTTTAATACAGTTCTGTGGAGAGGTTTAGTGTCTTTCAGCTCATTGTTTAGATTTTATGTCAACAAACTACAATTTTTGTTCTGTCACACAGCACTCATCCATGTTTTCACCAGCAGCAACAACAGGCAGCTCTGACGAACCTCTGTTGGCTAGATGTGCAAATAGCAATGAGCTTTAAGGTGAGTCAATTTTGTGTCCATATTTTTTTGCTACCCCCACCTGGCAAAACAACAACAACAACAATAATAATAATAATTCAGGTAGCTTCAACTTTATTTGTTGCTGTAGAAAACTCTGCAAGATTGTTTTAACTGAATTCAAGAAGCTAACATTCTCAGGTTTTAGGATGGAAGTTGATGGTGCAGTGGATAACAGTGCTACCCCTGTAAAATTAAACAGGAGTGTGCCTTAACACCAGCCAGTCAACATACCTAAGATAAGAATCTCACCAGACTAGATCAGTGGTAATGAATTTGTTTGTGAATGCTTGTGTTCATGTGTTACACTATCATATAGTAGGTCTGTATTTGTGTGTACATGGTGCTAATGAGTTCATCCTGTTCATAGATCTGACTTATCGACTCTTTCTGTGTTTGGGGGTTTGATCCAGCTGCTGTTGTTCTTGAATGAGAGAAACAATATCAAAGAATCCAATAATCTGAATAAGTTAAATTCATATGAGCCTGAGTTGTATATTTAACCTAGTATATATAACTTTGCATGTGAAATTATGCATATGTACACATATATGTACTCTACTAATGGTGATTATTTTGGCTAAAATGTTCTTTTAAAGCAATGTCTGCTTTTGGTTTATCTTGTAAATTCAGTACCTACCATATCAAGATACTAGAATGAAAAAGAAGCACTAAACAGAGATGTGCAAATAGCCAGTCAAGGTGTGAATGTCAGACCCTTGAATTGAAAAATGACAAAAAAAACATTCACAACATCACACAACTGTTGCACACATGCAGGCAGGGTCAAACATGTGCTTACATTCGGAATCTTTACTTTTCAAAATCTACCTCAAAATCTGCGGAGGTGTCATCAGAATTCTGTGGGTGCAGATTCCATTTGGGCCTGCATATAATTGAATTTATACATTTATAATTTCACCAAAAACTGAAACATTTTGAGCTTCATAAACGAAGTTGTTAAGGCAGAAGTGTTATACTGAATTACATACAATTGTACAGGTGTACCTAATAAAGTGGCCACTGGGTGGATGTCAGTGAGTGCACCAGCACCATTCAAAGTCAATGACATATAGCACAGACACTGTATCACCTTTGACGGTTGCTATGGTGAATCTGTTGCCTATTTCCATTAGACACAGAGCCATATTATTTAGTCAGTTTACCTGCAGTCTGCTGTTGGGCATGTGCATCTTTGCACAGGCTGCTTTGATAAAACTTGCTTTTGTGTTTCTATGGTCTTTATAAATATGCTGATTAAAGACTGTCAGTGTTTGGCAATGTTTGTTTTTGTTTTGCTGAAAAGTGTTTCTAACCTTTCTGCGGCTGGAAACGTGGTTGATGAGAGTAGTGAGGGTGAAGCAAAACAGTAGAATTCTGGGCCATTAAACCAAAAACAATAAGCCAAAAAAGGCTAAAATGCTCATTCAGGGGAAGTGCTGAGTCAAGTGACAATTCATGAGTCACTTATTTACATTCCACAATCAGTATTTACCCAGTCCACTGCTGATATTAAATATTCTGTAGTGCAGCTTAATTGTTAAACATTCCAGTAGCAGTGAGTAGATTCTTCAGGAATATTTTCATTTTTAAAACATTATATGTTCAAAAATGTTATTTAGCATAATCTTGAGTTTTGGACAGGGTCAACATTCTGCCTGGTTTTGGGTTTGGTTTAAAATCTGGGAATACGCTTTTCACTGGGACCCAAACAAACTTAAGCAGTGTAAAGGTTAAGAGCAGGTGCCCTGTGGCTGAATGACAGTAAGAGGGAAAATGTGCTTCTAACCCTGAGTGTGCCGAATGTTGAGCTGGTTGATCTGCTCAGTGAACTCGTTCTCCTCAATGGTCTCAGTGCGAGGAACTGACAGAGAAAAACGTCTCTTAAAGGTCTTCATCTTGTTCATGGTGCTGAAGAGCAGATTCTGAGAAAAGAAAGCAAAAGAATGACTTTCACCAAAAATATAGTCAGTTCTCCAATCTATCAGTGTATACACACATTTTTTGATGCTTTCCTGAGTTTTTGAAGGCAAAACATAAAAAAAAAAAAATAGATCTTATAATATACAGCGCATGTAGTGCAGCATAAATCAAAGTAACTAAAGTGTAACCACTTGTTGGTACACTGCCTACATGACACAAGCTACAGAGTGTGTTGTGCAGCTGTGATGGATCTATTGATGTGCAGCTTAACCAAAGAGAGTCTGTTGTGTTGTTGGATAATGAGGCAGAAAACAGCAAGAAAGCAGCTGATCAATGCATCATCTCCCTCAGTAGGTTCCACAAACACAGCCAGTCCTACTAGTTAGTTATCATTCTCCTGCTTTTTTTCTGCAGTCTGTGTGCCACGGAGACCGGTGCCATGGGGTCTCCATGATTCCTTTACTGAATTTGTGCATGCATGGGTGTGTGTATGTGTGTGCTACTGCTCATTAGTGTGTAAGGCTCAGATATGGCCGTGGTGGCTTTGACTGCAGAGAGACTCCAAATTTCCTCCTGTTATTTTTAGGTCTTAATAGCTCATCACGATATTACTGTCTCTGAGAAATCTCTGCGCATTATCAGATTACACTGATTCATACAGGGACAGATGCATAGAAATGTATCCACCGGTCAGCCACACCAGTTTGACCACCTGCCTAATGTGGACACAGGAGTCAGCGGGCAGTTGGCACTCGTGTCACTCTGCAGCTCACTGTGCAACATCTGTGAATCTGTTTGCTTCCATAGCTCACCTGCCAGGAAGAGCACAGATGTGTCGACCATTGAGTGAAAAACTTACGGAAAAGGAGTAAAAACTGTGGTCATGAAGACATGTTGGAGGACTTTATAGACACATTCAACAGCCTCACCACTCTAGGTGTGATATCACCACTACAGCCCCTGACTCTTTCTCTTCATAGAGACCAGTGGACAGTGTTTCTCATTTTCAGCCATTTTAACAAAGATTCAAATAAATGTTAATCTTTTGAAAAGTACAAATGGAAGTTAAAAGTTTAATTTACAGTAGATCAACCTCATCATCAGTGAGCCTTGGGTGTCCATGGCCCTGTCTCCAGTTCACCATTCTGCTTCCAACACATCAACTTTGAGGACTGAATGTTCACTTGCTGCCTAATATACCCCACACATTGACAGATGCCACTGTAACAGATAGTCAGTGTTATTCACTTCACCTGCCAGTGGTCAGAATGTTATGCCTGATTGGTGTATATAAACCTACACAAAACACACACAAAGTGTGTCTAATAATAATGCACCCAACACTAACTTAGTGTATGTAACTGTCCTCTGCCTCAAAACCCAAGACAACTGCAGAGTAGTGTGATTTTGATATGCAGTTTACTGATGGTTTTAAAGAATAGACATTCATGCAACGTCATTGTGAGGTGTACAACAAACCAGAATGACTTAAAACTTATGAGGAGATCCAAATGTAAAGTTTTTATTGTGTTTTAAACTGCACGGATTGCAAAAGTAGTGGGTCAAAAATGTTCATTACCCCCATAAAGAAACCTCACAGGTTAGTTTAGTATTTAGTGGCCTGCATTTGCATTCAGCTACTGGTACCAGCTGTCGTTGTGTCAAATTACTGTATTTAGGAAGACCCAACAGATGTCTATCAAAGTGTTGTATATAGCAAAAACTGTGTAGATGTGAGTATGAGTGCCACATGCAAATGTACCATTAAATGTTATTTCACTGGTTTCTTGCAATTAGCTTTAATTCTACATAGTGATAATGTCCAGACTGGCCCTAAGCTACGGTATCATGCCAGGTTATCATCCAAATGTAGCACAAGTAATTTCAATCAAATTGTGAAAAACCTGGCAAAAGAAAATGTAAATTAATTCACCTTTCAATCTACTAATGTTATATGAATATTAGGAGTTGGTTTGTCAAGATAAACAGTGATTAGCACAGTGTTTCGAGTGCTATTAAACCACTGCAGAAGAAGAGGAAGCAAGAGCATTAGTCAAACTGCATTGGAAAAATGCAATGTAGAAAACATCCATGATGGAACTATGCTATTTTTCTTTGTTTCAAGTCTTAATTTGACAAATGTTGCAGTCTCTTCAAGTGTCATGTTGCTCATGCTTTATTTTATTTTGCACTTTGTTATATGTTCTTTTTATCAATAAAACTACTTTTCTACCTCAGCCAAATATAAAAACCTGCTTCAGTATTTAGAGATTTTGTTGTAGAATCACGGTATTTCATTTTATGCACAAACTCATAATACACAAATAGAAAATGTACATTAAAAATGTGTGGCAACTAACTGACTGTGCCAGTCAGTTTTATTAACCTCTAAGCTGTGAGGAAAACCATCAAATTAAGACTTCGTAGGCAAAAATACGAACCCCAACAACAACAAGCTATTTCATCTGACTTCCTGTCGATTACACAAAAGAAGTGAATGAAAAACATAGACTGGAGTTAAACTGCTCCTGACAAAGTCAGGATCAAACAAGAGAGAGTGTAGTGTTGTCATAGACTTGATCAACTCTGAAGCAAGACATAAGCTTTGTTTGCATTTTGTTTGTCAGCATTGCCTGTCAGTTGTGATTTAGTTGCCAAAAATCATGTTTCACTTTACACCTTAAGAAACTGACAGTACTTAAAATTTTCTTGGGTTTTGTCTAAGTGGAAAAGTTCAATGTGAAATCCCCCATTTATTTTTAGAGGTGACAAATACATATAAAGGTGAAAGATAAGCACAAACGTGTCAGGGTCGGCGCGCGTACTGCGGCCGAAGAGTGTTTTGGTGAACTCAATTATAATGCCAGACGAGTAAGTGTAAAACAAAAATGTCTCTTTAATAAGGGAACTAACATTGAACAACGGAAACTACACGAGACACGGTGACAACACAAAACTCACATGTCCTTATTAACAGTCCGAGGTCAGAGCCAGCAAACACATACATCCAGGGTAATCCGAAGTTCGTAGTCCAATAGAGACAGTCCGATAATCATACACCGTGGGCGAGGCAGAATAGAATGGTCCAAAGAAACAATCCGGGTCAAAACACAAGATACCAAAACCGAAGGAATGCGGGAAAGTCAGAGCTGGGGTCTAGAACAATCTGGCAGCGTCCTCATGGGAGGACGCTGCCTAAATAGGGAAGAAAACAGGTGCACATAACAACGAAGCAGGTGAAACTAATGTGAGTGATGAACGTAAAGAAAAGACCAGAACTAAGGTGAAAAACAGGAAATGGTGTCAAAATAAAAGCCAGACAGGAAGCAGTGGAACCGAACCATGACAAAACGTCCAGGAGCGGGTTTTGTCTAAGTGGAAAAGTTCAATGTGAAATCCCCCATTTATTTTTAGAGGTGACAAATACATATAAAGGTGAAAGATAAGCACAAACGTCCAGGAGCTGGGAGAAAATAATAAAGGCATTCAGAGATCCAGAGACGTGTGGGTGGCAGCCATAAATTGAACAGCGAGTAGAGTAAAGGAAGTGGCTCAAAAGGTGTCAGTGGAAGCAAATATTCCTCAGAACCGTGCAGAAAAATGGAGGATTTCTAATTCCGAAAAGAAGAATCATGTAGATATCAATCAAATTAACACTCATGTGACTCTTCAGTTGAAAGGGGCAATGGTCTTGGCCACACAAAAGAGCCAATGCACTGCCACAGCACTGCTTAAAGCAGAATTGCCAGCCTTTTTACATGAAATAACACCCAGTCATGTTCAATGAGCACCTGAACCAGCAACAGAGACCTCAGTTTTACATTTTTTAGAGCTGGGAAATTCCTTGCCTTTGCTCAGTTGCAATTTTATCCAACATAGCCATGTTCTGTTGAATGTTTCTTCCCTGAAAGAGCCTGTGGCATGCTTTTCTGTGTTTTTTGACTTATCTACAATGTTACAGTGATGAATTATCATCTTAAACATCATCTTATCATCTTGACTGAAAGCTCAAAAAAATGAGGTGTACGTATGTTGTTGTACTCCTATGCAGAACAAACTCGGTTTATACAAGTCTCACAAACTCTTGCTTGCAAGACTTTTTTTCTAACTATATAAAGTCTTACGCAATAGTTTACGGATTTCCTTGAATGGTCATAATCTCCAGGCAGTTGTGCATTCATGTGAACTTGGCTGGCATCCACTGGAGCTATTTTAAAAGTGGAATTTTTCCATTGCGCCCAGTTTTGTGGATATATTTTCCCTCCTGCTGCTGCACTGTAACTGGATAAAAATACAGGGCCTGAGATTACTGCATGTCCGGGAATGTTCCTGTACAGGGACTCATTGTTTTACCTGACCCGGTCTAACCTACAAGCAGCTGGCCTGTGAAGGACCTTGGGGTGGTGAATTATCAGCTCATCAACACTGGATTCCCCCTGAGCGTAGTACCTGTTTTTTTGACTGCTTGAGGCCAGTGTGTCTGCCGCATGTGATGTGTTGCAGGTTGGCGAGAGGATTTTAACGATCCATGATGGCATTGTTAGTGCGACGCTACCCTTTGACTGTAACGCAAGGGATTTGTGGGACAAGATGCAGCGGTCACCGGTTGGATTTACCGACCCTGGCATTTCCACTAATTAATGGGATGTAATGGTAAGTTTAAAAAAAACACTCGTTGCATGCCTGTTAAACCTTTTTTCTGTAGATAATTATTGGAAGGCTGGAGAAGTTACTCTTTTCATCGGCACATGTACCCTTGTTTACTTATATATGAGGAGAAATTCAAATTCATTAATGCTGTTGTGATTCGCTGTGCTGTTCACGTTCATATTCTGGCTTGAACATGTCAGGTAGGATTTGACGTATTGTCATTGTCAAAAACGTAGCTTATTTGTTCAGGGTTTTGTTTATGCATTGTCTTAGCTTCTTGACAGGAAACAGGAGTTGTGCAAGTTAACAAATTATCCTCTGGTTTTCAGGAGTAGACTTTTGGGTTTTATCA